CCCTCCTCTTTGTCTTCTGGAAGCAAGACATATTCAAGTACTGACGATCCTACCAATGGGAAAGTTAAGAGAAAGAGAAGGCAGGAAAGTAATGAAAGGAGAAAAGAAAGAACAGAAGATGAAGCATCAAGAAAAAGAAAGAGAAGGAAAAAAGGAAGAAACAACCAATAATATCACCTTTCCAAGGTTTCATAAAACTCCTGTTTAAGGAGTTTATTTCATGACACTTTTAGTTTGGGTTTACATTTTTACTGGTTTGTCAAGACCATGGCAGGTACAGTGTCCAATATGTTCAATATGTTAAAGAAAAAACCCTATCAAATAAAGAGGGAATATGCAGGGGAGGGCAGTTGGAGGCAATTGGGCTGGCAGGGAAGCAGTCGATCAGCTTGGCAGGGGAGTGATTAGGGGTGAACAGGCTGGCAGGCAGGTGAGTGGTTGGGAGCCAGTCCTGGATTGTGAGGGGGATGTCCAACTGCCAGGTTATGCCAGATCCCTTGGTCTAAACCAGCAATTGGACATCTCCCAAGGGGTCCCAGAGTAGAGAGGGTGGTAGTTGGGCTGAGGGACAGCTCCCCAATTTTGTGCACTGGGCCTCTAGACTATAATAATAAATGTTTAATATGCAAATTGACCTTACCACCAAACATTAGAACAAACACCCAGATGACCACACTATAACACGCACTGGTGCCAGGCCAGCCAATATGGATGCAATGCAATTTGTTGGGGGTGCCCACGATTGCCCCATGATTGCCCTGCAGGCCCAGGCCACCAGGTGGTGGGGAGACTGATTGGGGGGCTCTGCAATTAATCACCCTGTAGAGGGAGGCCCAGGCCACTGACTGGCAGGCTGCGGTGGTTGGGAGGGACTCCATGATTAATCACCCCACAGAAGGAGGTGACCAGTGGCAGGGGGTCAGCATTGCACCGATGGCAAGCAGTGGCAGCAGTGGGGACAGGGCCAGCTGCCAACAACTGATGGAAGAAAAGCCCTGATTGACCCTGATCTCCAGACAGGCCTAGGTACCCTACTTGAGCACTGTGGAGCTCAACCAGCTGGATCTGGGTTGATTGGCTCCCCAACCTCCAGCAGACCCACCTCCTGGCCAGTTCCACCCCCAATTTAACTCCTCCCCTACTCCCAACCCTGACAGGAAGGAGGAGGGAGCCTGATTCCCTGTGGAATCAGCCATTGTTTAGCCTTCTGCTGGTGCCATGACAGCCCTGAATCTTTTCACCTGCATCCCAGACCCTGACAGGAGTGAGGAGATAGCCCAATTCTTCACGGTTCCTCCCCCCAGCTGGTGTCAGCAACAGAAAATGTCTAAAGACCAACTATTGGCATAATATACCTCTGAAGCTGTTATTGTCCACAGAATGTCCACGATAGGCACAGGCTGGGCTGAGGGGCCACTCTGGAGTGCACGAATTTAATGCAGCAGGCCTCTAGTCTATATAATAAAACCTAAGCAACCATTATGGAGGAACAACCAGCATGACCTGTCACTATGAAGCAAACTGACCACCAGGGGCCAGACGCTCAATGCAGAAGCTGCTCCCTGGTGGTCAGTGCGCTTCTACAAGCCAGCACTGCTCAGCCAGAAGCCAGGCTCATGGTGGCGACTGCAGCAGTGGTGGCAGGAGCCTCTCCCGCCTCCACAGCAGCACTAAGGAGCAGCGAGCTGAGTGGTAAGGAGCAGTAAACAGGTGGGTGGTAAGGAGTGAGGGGTCCTGGACAGAGAAAGGGCACAGGCTGGGCTGAGGGACCCTTCCACTGCAAATTGCACTGGTCTTCTAGTCTCTTCATACCTTCTCAGAATGGCTCTCATCAATAAATCAATAAAGCAAATATTGGTGAGGAGGTGAAATCCTTGTGTACTGTGGGTGGGAATGCAGATTAGTGGAAACTAAAAATGGAACTCCCATTTGACCCAGTGATCCCACTTCTAGGCCTGTATCCCAAGAAACTAGAAATACCAATCAGAAAGGACATATGCACCCCTATGTTCATGGCAGCACAATTTACAATAGCTAAGATTTGGAAACAGCCTAAGTGCCCATCAGCAGATGAGTGGATTAGAAAATGGTGCCACATCTACACAATGGAATACTATACTGCTGTGAAAAGAAAGGAACTACTACCATTTGCAACAGCATGGATGGTGCTGGAGAGCATTATGCTAAGTGAAATACACTGAGTGGCCAGATTACTATGATCTCTGAACGCATAGTAATCTGGGCACTCAGAGTGCAGAGTGTTTATATGTATATTAGAGGCCTGGTGCATGAATTTGTGCATGGTTGGAGTCTGGCCAGTCTGGCCAGGGGAGGGGACATGGGTGGTTGGCTGGCCTGCCTGCTGGTTGAACTCCTGGTGGAGGGGACAATTTGCATATTAGCCTTTTATTATATAGGATATACATTCAGTGGCCAGATTATTATTTGTTCAGAAATCATGATAATATGGCCACTCAGTGTAAGTCAGTCCAAGAATGATAAATATCACACGATCTCACTCATTTCTGGATTATAATGAACAGCATTAACTGATGAACAAAAACAGATCCAGAGACAGAGAAGCATCGAACAGATGCTCAAACCTCAGAGGGAAGGTAGGGGATGGTGAGGGTAAGAGGGAGAGATCAATCAAAAGACACAGCAGGGGGATGAGAGCATGTATGGGAGTGGGGTGGGGGTGGGGAGGCAAGGGGGAATATGAACACATATGTAATATCTTTATCAATAAAATATTGAGGGAGGAAAGGAACTGCCTTATGACCCCACAATTCCACTTTTGGGAAATTTCAACAGAGAAATCTGAAACACTAATCCAAGACTATATGCACTGCTTCCTTCATTGCAGTTACTTATAACTAGAGGCCCAATGCACGAAATTTGTGCAAGGAGCTCAGCCCTTGCAGCCCCTTGCAGCCTTGGCCGGCCCTCCTAGTCCTGGCTTTGTCCAGAAGGTCATTTGGATGTTCAGTCTAATTAGCATATCTGTTTATTATACAGGATAGCTAAGATTTGAAAACAGCCCAAGTATTCATCAGTAAATTAGTGGATAAACAGCTAGGATACACTTACACATTGGAATTCTACTTGGTCCTAAAAAAAAGAGAGAAAATTTTACCCTTTGCAACAACATAGATGAGCCCAGAAAGCATTACGTAAGTGAAATAAGTCAGTCAGAGAAAGACAAGTATCATATGATTTCAATCATATGTGGAATTTAATGAACAACTGAATTAACAAACAAAATAGAGACACCCTCATAGATGGAGAGCAGGAGACGTACCTGGTTGGGAGTGTTGGAGGGATTGAGCAAAATAGAAAAGAAAAACTCATAGATATGGACATCAGTGGGGTGATTATGGTGGGGGTGGGAGTGTGTGGAGGTGGCTGAGGGTATAGGAAAATAAATGGTGACAGAGCAATAATATAATAAAGAAAATAATGTCCGAATTGGGTATTTATGAGAAAATATACGCATCTTCTTTCAGATTGCTTTCCTAGTTAAGTACTAATAAATATGACTGATTTTCATTTTTTCAATGAAAAATACTGTCTTTTCTTTTTATGAGCACACTAGACGCCCAGTGCATGAAATTTGTGCACTGGTAGGGTCTCCAGTGGCTTCTGGCTAATGGCCGGGGCCTCCCTTCCTTCCCCTGGACAGTCCTGCCCCCTGGGTGAATTTCCAGATGACCTCCATTTGCATACTACACTTTTATTATATTGGACTAGAGTTCCAGGGCATGAAATTCATACATTGGATGCGTACTCCATCCTTTCCCTGGGTCACCTGCCTCCTGCTGCTGCCACTGGTCACTGCCTGCCCATTCATCACTGCCTGCCCTATCGTCCCACCAATCACGCCACCACCACCACCCCAGCTGGTTGCTGCCTGCAGGGACCCAATTGCCTCGCCAATTGCCCTGCTGCTGCCCAGCTCCCAGGCATTGAGCGGGGCAGCTTCCCTGTCCCCTGCTGTTGCTGTTGGTCGCCCTGCGATCACATAGGTCGCATTAGGCCCCCGCCTGGCTCCCTCAGCACCTGGGAGTCCCGCTGCAGCGGGGGCAATTGGATCAGCAGGGCGATTCTCACCTGTCAACCAGTGGCTCACACCCACCTTAGCCTGGAGCTGCCCACTCACCTGCTTCACCATCCCTTTCCATCCTATCACTTCCCAGTGCCACTCTCTTCGGGACCCATTGGGGCCTGCAGTGCCTCCATGACCTTACCACCTGCTGCCAGTGTGGCATCACCAATGCCTGCCATGTTCTGTGCTGCCTCCTGATGGTTAGCGCAAATCATAGCAAGCAGTCGAACTCCAGGCAGAACTCCAGGTAAGGGGGACAATTTGCATATTTGGCTTTTATTACATAGGATACTTCTTTTTTTGGGGGGGGTAAAATTTTTTATTGGAAAACAAATATACAACTTGGAATGGATTTGAGGCAAATTGTGCCATAAGCAGATTTTCTTTAAGTGGCTAAACAAAGTTTAAAAAGCAAGTAACAATGAAAGAAAATGTTTCGGGTACAGGACCAGCAGTACAAAAAAATATTACACCCGTTTTGCAATAGTGCAACTTTTAAGTACATATTGTTGACTGTCCATAGTCCATGCAGAGTTACAACTCCACACTTCAACAAAACATGCTGACAGTTCCTAAATAAAACTACTTAAAAAAAGGCATACCCAGATGTTCCCTCATTTGACCAACTCCATCTAAGTTTAGATATGCAGAAGGGCTTAGATATTTCCAGAGTAAGCCACATGCAACATGTTACTTGATCAATTTTCTAAAATAAGGTTTCAGGACAATAACAGTAAGATAAGGGAAGAAAACATGGAGGAATGAAGTCCTAATTACTATACCTGCATATTTTTTTTTGACAATAGGGGAAACCTTTTACAGATAAGTTACAAACAAAGAAAAGGCAAATAAACAATTTTGTACAAGAAATTTAACACAATTCTGTACAATATCTTCACTTTGCTGTCATCATTTGTACAAACTCTTCATAGTTTACTTGACCACCACCATCAATATCTGCTTCCCTGATCATTTCATCAACCTCTTCATCTGTTAACTTCTCCCCAAGGTTTGTCATCACATGGCGAAGCTCTGCTGCACTAACATAGCCATTGCCATCCTTATCCAACACGGGGAATGCTTCTCGAATTTCTTCTTCACTGTCTGTGTCTTTCATTTTTCTTGCCATCATTGTCAAAAATTCTGGGAAGTCGATTGTGCCATTACCATCAGCATCAACTTCATTTATCATGTCCTGTAACTCTGCTTCTGTGGGATTCTACCCAAGAGACCTCATTACAGTTCCCAATTCCTTTGTTATTATAGTTCCATCACCATCCTTATCAAATAGTGAAAAAGCTTCTTTGAATTCTGCAATCTGCTCTTCAGTCAGTTGGTCAGCCAAATGTTAAGTCCAGCCTCATCTTCTCTTGACTTTTGAAATCCCAAAGTGAGCCTAAGATTTGTGATGTCTTTAGCACATAGATCAAGTTACTGGTTCTTACATGCTGCAAGCGCTACCGGTCTCCGAGACGCAACTACACAACCAGTCAGCTCGCTCGCTCCACTCGGACCTACGTAGGATACTTCTTATACATTGCATCATTAGCTCCAGTTCTCTACCTGTCCCAGTTACACACCCTAAAACGCGTCCCTGGGGAAGTGATCATGAAGCTGAAGGCGATGAGGTTGGACAGGCATGGAAAGGTCGCAGAGAAGTGTCCCTGCTGTGGGGCTCAAGGCCGGAGGCATAACTGGCTGCACTTGTTGAGCAGAAAAGGAGTGAGTGAGGAGAGATGGGCAGGGCCTAGTGGCCCTGGGAAAAGGTTGGCGTTTGGTTGTAAGTACAATGCCAGGGGCTGACCAGATCTGGGTAAGTGTGGGTCACAGGGGCAACAGGGCTTGCCAGTGGACTGCATGTGCACGAAAGCGAAGACGGATCAAGGATGACATGCAGGTTTTGACCAGAGTGACCAGGTGGATGGAGGTGCATTCCTTAAGCCAGGGAAGCCTGGGAATTGGGACTTTCTCCGGTTTTGTTTTCTGTTATTATGGGTCTTGGGAAGTAACACTGCGGCTGCTCAAAACAGTTCCTTAGCTTGTAACTGAGGCACTACTTAGTCTGAGCCCTTTACACCCTCAAACTGTGGTAAAGAGAAGGCCTGCTCAGCTGCATTTGAGTGCTGGCTATGTATGCTACCAGCTGTCCCCCCGCCCTGCTCCAGCTTGCCTTGGCACCAGGCTTGCCCTCTGGAAGTGGGGATCTGTGCTCCCAGGAAGCTGCTTGGCTCTGACACCTGCGATTCTAGAGGACAGTCTTGTCCCTGGCCTTCTCTTCACCCAGGCGCCCACAGCCAGAGGAGCTAGCACCTCTGCTGGCCAGAGGCTGGACGCAGCGCCCTGCACCTGCCGGCCCAGGTGGACAGATGCAACCGGCACACTCCCCCTGCAGCAGGAGGGCGAGCGCTCTCCCAGGCCTGCACCTCCAGGGCCATGACCAGGGCGGGGAGGAAACTCCAGGGAAGCGTATGCTCAGGGGCGGGCCACCTCTCCAGCATACTCTTGGGCCTGACCTTCCTGAAAGTGAAGATAGGTTTCAGTTGTTCTCTGTATATTTTTACAAAACAGGCTTGTTTTCTGTTTAGAAATGCCCTCTAATTTTTATAAGACAGAAGTCCAAGTGGCACTGAACCAACACTTGCCTGTTAAATACACACAGATCAAAACCAAACAAGACTCTATCTGCAGAGCTCACATCACTTAATGTTTTACAGCCTCCTTTCAACGTCAGGAAATACTTTTAGAAACAAAGTGTCTCATAAAGAAACACTTACGTGATGTTCAATCGTTTCTTTAATTCCACTATACTGCTCTACAGCAGCGGTTGAGACCCACAGGCTGAGAACCACTAGCAGGGTCGCCTAAGACCATCGGAAAACACAGATATTTACATTATAATTCATAACAGCAGCAAAATTACTGTTATGAAGTAGCAACGAAAATAATTTTATGGTTGGGGTCACCACGACATGAGGACTGTATTAAAGAGTTGTGGCATTAGAAAGGTTGAGAACCATTGCACTCTAGTTTCTTTTACTTCCACCATTCATGGAAAATAAGGTTACTCGGAAATATTTGAACACGTTGTGGGATACGATTAGGTGTAAGGCTTTATTCTTAACTTTATTTCCTGAATTCTACTATGTATCATTAACGTAATTAACACTCTAACAACCCCCACTTTCCTCTGTTATGCTCTGCTCTGGGCTATCCCCTAAGACAGCCTCTTGGTCTGTGCACCTGCTGGGGTCCTAACATGCTGTCTGAGTGCTGTGACTCCTTCTTTGCTGCTCATTATGAAAACAGATCACCACATGTGTTTTAGGGGAAGGGCTTGCACCAGATGGGCAGGACGTTCGGGATTAAGTGGGGAAAAAGCCAAAGGAGGTGCAGGTCCTTTTCCAATAGGGTGTTCGCAGTCCAGAGCAGGCAGCTGGAGGGTGGGGCAGTTGCCTGAGATGCCCAGGACCCAGCAAGGAATGTTTGACTGGAAAGCAGTTTACTAGCCAATAGGCACTGAGTCACTGAATACTTCAGTTGACACACTTCAAAACATTAATTAATTATAAAAATATTACATGAAAAAGACACATTGTATAGAATATAAAGCACTAATTTTTGTATATTTTTCTTTATACTTCTCTACATTTTCTAAATGTTTTTCTAGATATTTTATGAAAGAACAACATAATTAAAAACAATCAAAGAAATCCTCCTTGGTGCATCAGAACTCGGACATAAACAGCCCTGCGGGACAGGTCCAGCCTGGCCGTCAGCAGAGGGGCCTGGGACTGTGGGATGGGCTCCGCAGGCTGAGGCCCTGGCCCAGGTCCTCCTCAGAGGGAAGTGCTGGTGGTCTCCAGGGTGAGAACCACTACACCCACAGGCCACAGCAGCAGCACCTGGAAACCTTTCCTGGGGACAGATCGTGTCCCATTTCCTCAAGAAACGTCACCTCAGGGAGGCTCAGACCCAGACGGGCCGTCACATCTCCTGGTCCACTTTCTGGCTGTCCCTGCACAGCTGCTGGCTGTAAGCAAACTTGCTAGTGGCTTCTCCCTCTGCTTCCGCATCCAAACAAAGGATGACCAATGGGTCTCCGGGGAGAAGAGATGAGAGAGTGTACAGAAGGCGCTCGGAGTTCTAACTGCTCAATAACTGTGAGCTCTACCAGGAAAGGAGCTCCTCAGTTCAAACCTCTGCCGGGAAAGTGCAGACCAAGGGAAACCTAATTCCCTGAGGCCACTACACCCGTGTGGTGTGGAATGAGGCCCAGGCTGTGTGCTGTGGGTAGGAGGAGATGGGGCCTAGAAGTGAGCTGGGGAGAGGAGCTGTGCGGGGTATACCAGATGGCCCTGGGATAAGACACCAGGATCCAAATACAATCACATCCAATGCCTGTTCAGAGAGCTCAGTGGGAAAAGTGAGGAGGATGCCGAATGTCTGCCTGTCCCCGCACTCTGGGGAAGAGCATTCCCACTTCAGTGCTCCAACCATGGCCGCCTGATGCCTGAGCATTTTCACTAATTCATCCTTTTATTTTAAAATTAAGCCCTTCCTGCATTCTTGTTCTACCTGTTATAAAGTTTAGTTAGACAACCCTCATATTGGTCCCATTTTATAGAAGAGAGAAAAGAGGCTGAGAACAGAACACTCGTTTTGTCAAGGTCACACGCAGGCACCTGCTCCATGTGTGTGGTGGGCGCCTTGCCACACTGCAGGGCCAGGCCTCCTAGAGGGCATCTTCTGTCAATGCAGGGGGACACACATTCCTGGGAAAGTTAGCAGTGCCTCTGGCAGAGACTCAGGTTCCAGAGCTGCCTCCATCCCCACCAGCACACTATTGGGGTTTAATACTCATCTCTCAAGGGAACTGGATGCTGAGGAGTGGGTGTGGAAATGCAGCTGTGAGGGCAGACCCAGAGTTCAAACTCATCCTGGGCAGGGGGAAAGGCCTGCTCCAAGGAGCTGTCCTGGGGCTGGGGGGAGGGCGACCTCCCTCAGGGCAATGAAAGAAGAGGGTCAGGCTTCCCAGCCAGGTTCCTCCTCCCACTTGCCCAAGCCGCCCCTGTCTCCCAGCGGCCCCAGCCCATGTCAGCAGGGCTTGGGGGCCTTGGCGGGTTGAGGTGATTGCAGTGGGACTCGGTAACGCATTGGGGCCAGGGGTACTTACTGTAGACTGTGGTGTTGTCCAATTTATATCTGCAAAGAACTTCTTTCTTGTCCCTGGCATTATTAAAGCCTTGTCCAGAAACCTTCACCTCATATTTGTCTGCAAGGGTGACATGGAGAGGTCCCTGTGAGGAGGGCTCAGAGCTGTCCTGCCTCTGATCTCAGGTTGGGAGGCCACCCCCCAGCACCCTAATCCCAGGGACTCCTAGGAACAATACTGACTCTGAGCACATCTGTGCGTCCCCTCGGCCACACCCTCACCTGGTGACCTTGAGGGTCCACTCTGAGGAGCGGGGCTGTGCCCCAGGCACTCAGGGGTCTGCTCAGCCCCTGACTGTGGAGCCCATGAAAGGGTTATGCCGCCTCATCCCTCCACAGGACAGACCCGCCTTGGCTTTCTGACCCTGGTTCCCTGGCCCCTGAGGGGTGCAGCACTGCTCACCCTGCCCCTACATATGTACATGAGAGGAGTGAGGACATCCCTGCCTCAGGTCTGAGCTGAGCACCCAGGTCTGGGTGCCACAGGGACTTCCTGACACTCGGGGTCCTTTCCTCCTCCCTGTCATCCTGTGCCTGGCAGCTTAGAGCGCCTAGGGAGGGTATGCAGGAATGAGCTGTGTCAGGAAGGAGCCCAGGACCCTGCACAGGGCACTCCCATGGCAGGGGCCGTCCTGTCTTAGCTGAGCTTCCAGAGTCTGCAGAGGGCGCTCTGCTCTGCCTTCCTCGAGCCCTCCATGAGCCCACCCCGCCGGCAGTCTCGGGCCTTTCCCCTGCCTGTGTGCAGACACTGGCCTGCTGAGCTACAGCTCTGGGCCTGGCATCCCTCGACCCCAGGATGGAGGCCCCTGGCAGTTCCTGAGGTAAGGACCAGGGTCACAGTGAGGACAGACTGGGGCATAGGGCCAGGGAGCCAGCAGGTCTTCCTGCTGCCAGGCCAAGGTCACTGCCTCCAGCCTGCTTCTGGCTCAGGCAACCTCACTCCCCAGTCTGTCCACCAGAAGCACTTCCTCAGAAAGGCCA